TGCTTTTCAGCATCACAGGTGAAAACCTATTTCAGAAAAGCAACAAATCACAAGTAAGCAAAATTTGTCCAATTTTAAGTTATTTAATTTCATCTAAAATTTCACACTCGGTAAGCTATAACTCTTGTTAAAGTGTTAACATTCGCTATTCCCATTTATTGAGGTTTTAGAAGAGTTTACATTGGCATGTAATAAATAAGCTGGCTTGCTATTCTTCAGATAAAATATAGAGTCAGTTACATAAGATTGCAATTTTAATAAAGGGAGTTTTAAAACTGTAGCTCAGTTACTCAAATCCTTATATCACTCTTGTATTAAGCATGTGCTGAGATTTTATAGATTTAGAAACTAAATACAATTCACATATATATGATTCAGAAGGGTTATTTAGTATTTACTTGTGGTCAGAGTTAAGCTTTGTAGCCTTTATATTCTCTATTTAAATAAGTATCTACTTTAAAAATCCCAGTTTTAGAGTGAATTACGCTGCTATAATGACTAACCTAGATCATTTCACTGTCTTATAAATTTTCTCTATATTGTTTCTGAATTTTAGTTCCAATGAAATCTCAGAAGGTAGCTATGTGAAATACTGGCAAATTTGTTCAGCTAGACATCTATTCAAAACCTTGGACTAACCAGTAACTTGGCCCCCTCCTCCTTCCAGAACATAGGCACCAACCTAAAAATAAGTTTTACAAATCTTCAAGGGTGGATGAAATTAGGTATCCTTGACACAGTTCATGCCTCTTTATAATGAAATGGGAACCCATTAGTTATCAATAATCCCTGAGGTGTCATTTAGCTAAACATACATTCCAATAATTCACATTTATAGATAAACACTTGAAGTATGCAAGAAATTTTAGAAGACTATCACAAAAGCAATTTTTTTATTATAAAAAAATTTAGTACCAAAAAATAGGTTACATTTATATAGAAATGTAGACTGCTTAATTAATGACACACTACTCAGCTTCTTCAGATAAAACAATAGAGTTGCTTCATTCAGCATGCATTTTCTACAAATAAGCAGAATGAACTCCCTCCCTCCTGACCTTGTAGGAAGAAACAAAATGACCAAACAGAAGAGTAACTATATGTAAGGTTTGAGTTTGTGGAGAGTGATGCAGCGGGAAATTAGTCAGAATAAGAGTTAAAGAGGGCTGAGTCTACTTTGAGACTTGCTGCTTTATATAGGGTGGAGAGAGGCCACAATAATTCAATATTCTTCATGATATAATCTTTAGTAGAGAATAATCTTCTCTGTTCCATCTCAGAAATCATTAGAATTAAATACTAAAATTGGCTAAAAATAGTCATGATTTAGAGAACTAGAGATTGCTAGAAGAAGGAGAAAATCCAAGGGTATTCTAGGAAGAAGACACAGCACAAGCAGAAGCACCCATTTTAATGCAGAAAACAGGGAGACTGGATGCGTCTCCATCTTTCTCTTCAAAAAAGAGGTGATGGGACCGTGTGACATTTTGGTGTATGTTTACAATGTGTGCTGGGCAAATCAGAATACTTAGCCTTTCTCTTTATAATTTCTCTATGCTAGAGCCTTTAAGGTCCTCTATTCTAGTTATTCATAAACATACAATAGGCCAGTGGTGGGAACCTATGGCATGTGCCACAGCAGCCTGTTTATTATCACTGAAAGCTCTAAAACACTTGCCATCATTTCAAAAGGCTAGGTTAGTCATCTTTGTATTACTATAACAAAATGCCTGAGATAATCAACTTAAAAGAAGGAAATGATTTTTTTGGCTCACAGTTTCAGAGGCTGCAGTCCATGACCAGTTGGCCCTGCTGCTTTGAGTCCATGGTGCTGCAGCGTATTATTGTGAGGAATAATTTGTAAAGCAACGTGTTCACCCCATGGCAGCCTGGAACCAAAGTAAAAACAATAGAAGTGGCCAGAGTTCCAATGTCCCTCTCAGAGACACATCCCAGTGACCTAACATCATTCCACTAGGCCCCATCTCTTAACGGTTGGATCACCTCTCAATTACACCAAGCTTGAGACCGAGTCTTTAACACATTGACCTTTAGAGGACACTCCAGATCTAAACTACAGCACAGATTATTGTGAACAGTATCCCCACACTGTGCTGTGGAATACCAGAATTTATTTCTTCTATCCCACTAGGTTTTGGTAGCCATTATCCGACTGCCCTTTATCTCTATTGTGCCTGTATCTTCAGCCTGTAGTGAGCACATTAAGTTTTTTGAACAAATGTTTAAGGAGATGGAAATTCTCACTACTGAGATCTGATCATAACACACTATATATATATAATCATTATGCTGTGTGCCATAAATATGCATAACTAAAATAGTTTTTACAAAGAATTGATGAGTACCACTGTGGTTGTTAGGATGGGTAAAGAATAGCTTGTGGTAGTGGGACAAGAAATTTGGAATGAAACCTGCACTTGCTAGAAGCATACTCTACGTGGTAGAAAGGGGCATAAAGTTGTTTTCATGTAAAAGTTCACTTAAAAATTGAACTTGTTTTATGTCTTAATTAAATTGATGAAATGCTTACAGTAGTGAAAGAATGGACATGCAATTTCTCACATAAATTAGTAAATCAATAAAAATGCATGAGAGGTATCTGCTAAGATGCATAATTATACAGTGTGATCAGGAGGCAAACACTGTGGAATCATGGAGGTGAGGTGGCCACAGGGGTACAGGAGGCTTCAGGAAAGAGGGGTAGAAGGGGACCCCTGAAGAGTGGAATGCATCAGTCAATATTTTAGACAAGAGGACAGGGAATCACAAGTAAGGGTGGCAGACCTCCACAGCTTCAAAACGTGGGCTTGACCTGATTAAGCAGATAAGAGGGCAACAGGAGTAATTGAGGCAAGGCAGGGTGAACCTAGAAATCCATGAAGAAGGATTGGCTTGTTGTGCACCAGAGCTCTAGGTAAATGGAGCAAAGGAGAAAGGAACACGAGTAGGATTAAGGCAGATGACTATCCTGGCAGTGGGTGTGCAGGGTGGATCCCGGTGTGGAAAGATGTCATCAGTGGACACATGGTGCTATGAGCTCCACAGGGTCACGTTGTGGGTTATCTCACCTGATCCTCAAAGCACTCACAGGTAGCAACTACCAACATTGTCATTTGATGCAGTGGAAGACGAAACTAAGGTGTAGAGAAGAAAGTAGCCCAGTCATACAGCAAGTAGTAAAGAAGGTGGACCCTGGACTGCAGGTCCAAGGACCCATCCAGCCATGTTCTCTCTGCTTCAAACTGAAGGGAGGTGTTACGCATGAGTTCACAAGGAGAAAATATAGAATGAACTTCCTCCTTAAATTGACACAAAAGTCCTGGCCTCCCATCTACTTATATTTTATATTTTTAAAACATTAAAAATGAAGGGTCTGTAATCCCATTCACCAGGAAAGCCTAACAGGTTTGTGTGTTTAATGCTACATTTTGGGTAGCTACATTCAGAGCATGGGTACCATCTGCCTGAATGTTTCAATAGGAATTTTGTATTTACTGTTCGGTCATTGAATAACCTGTTATTGATTGATGCAGCAGAATATAGTAATCCCTAAATTTTTCAGGTTTAGGCTATTATAGAAATATGGTAATGAACGGTCCCTTACATTTTTGCCTCTCCCTGGAAGTGCTGACGAGATCAAAGGATGTGAACATCTTTTTGCCTCTTGCCTTCATTGCTCAGCAGCTGTTTAAAAGGATTATGCTAATTTATAAGTCAACACAATAAACAAGAAAACCAGTTTTCCCTCATAATCCCATTTGTCGGGGTTATTTTCTTTAATCTTTAGCGTTAACTCAAAGTCATCTAGTTTCTAGTTTCAAAATATTCTAGAAAAAACGGTGGATTTTCATTGTATTTGTTCAGTCATTTCCCCAGATACAGGTATTTTACTCCTTAGTCTATTAGAGTCCTGGCGTTTCCCTATCTTGTTTCTTTTTCTCCCGGTAGCTCTCTTGAGGTGAATTCAGAAGAGGAGAAACTAGAATTAAAGTTTCGCCTCTAGCTATGTTTATTTTTTGAGTTATTTTCCCTACCCTTTTCCAGAAAGATTTAAAAGGAATTACTGATGTCTTTGTTTATACACCTCGCCTTCTTCTGAAATGATCACGTAGATCAAAAGAAGCCAAGGGATAGGTGCAGAGTGATCAGCTGATAGTCGTTTTTCCTCTCGTGCACCCAGCAGAGCAGCTTTCACATTAGAGAGATCACACGCAAGATCTGTTTTCCGGGGATAGGCAGCCAGCCAGCTCCCTCTTCGTGGGAGAAGAGGGCCTTATCTTCAGAGTAAAAAGGAAATCAATAGAAATAGCTGTCTGTTTGCTCTGAGGAATGAAGTGGAATCCAGAAGGGGAGGGAGGCGGAGAAGAAATATTTGTTTTTCCCTAAGTGGTTATAATTAAAGCCTTCCACCCAATTGCTCTGTGAACCAGAAAAAGGTATTTGTGAGGTTGTATGTGTTTCTAAGACCATCACAAAAGAACCTTCTTAGCCGCCGGCTCTATAGACAGGCTTGCTCTGCAGCGGCACCTTGTGGTCATCCGGCAACCTGGAGATTCAATTTCACGGCCGCTAAATCACCTTTGGTAGCCTGCGATTCCCTCTGCCAATTCCCTCTCCCAAGAGAGGGCAATAAAGTTGTGAAGGATTAGGTCAGCTGTCGCATGTCTTGGTAACAAGCACTGATCAGTTAGCTACATCTCTTGGTAACAAGCACTGATCAGTTAGCTACATCTCCAGGTATATATTCTGGAATCCGCTATCAAACCAAGTTGCTCTATCAATTCTTTATAATACTCTAAGGTGGGTGGGGAGCTGAAGGTGTAGGAAAATGAGAGAGCTTTGGCCTGGGATGCAGATGGCCCTGGGCTGGATCCTCAGCATGAAATATAAACTACACTACACTAAACTAAAATATGGAAATTTTAAGGTCATTCATTCGAGAATGCATTAATGTAGTACTTCAAATTTTTATTTCCTAGGTGGCAACAAGTTACCCAACCAGCATTTTCGTCTGAACTGGGCATGGATCTCCTTTGAAAAGGAATATTACCTGGTCAATGAAGACTGCAAATTTCTAGATGTCATTCTTAAACGTAGAGGTTACTTGGGAGAAACTTCATTTATAAGTAAGTTTAATTTTGCATTTTTGTCTCAAATCCCATTTTTCTACCAAAGACTTACAGTTTTTCTAAGGTGTTTAAAATACCAATTTAGTTCACTGATTTAGTTTAAATGCTTAGGGAGTTGTTGACATTTAAAAATCCTTTAACTGCTAAAAAAAATAGCAGATTGGTGTCAAAATACGAACCTCTTCAAACCTTCTACCTAAATGTGAGCTTCTCTGATATAAAATAACCTTACAAAATTGGAAGCAACCACTCAGAAGCTAAAAATAATGTTAGGCAAATCTGTAACTTACCCACAAAAATAAAAGTCTGCTGAAGCATCAATGTAAAGCATGTGAGGGCTACTTTCATAAATAAATGAAAACTCTTTAGTAATTTATTAGACATTCAAATATACTGCATATTTATTTGTTGTTCTTGACTATTCAAGCAGGTCACTAAAAGTTCCGTGAACGCCAGTCCCTGACATAAAAGATTTATGTTGTGACTTTTCTTTATAACCAACATTAAGTCATTAAATACTAATCATGCTTTATTTCTTTTGAATAAACCTAATAAAAGAAAATGAATAAAACTTCAACTCCAACTTCATATTTGATTTCACATAATCAGAGAAAACTATGTTGACATTTTAAAGCAGTGATACAAGTAGCACAAAGTATTTGATGTGTTCATGAAAAATAGCCACACCCCAAGCAGTTATATTATTTTTGATAATAAATGTTTTACAGACATTTAAATGGATGAAATTTGTACAGGTAAATCGTATCACTGAATAAGATTACCAACAAGATAGGAATCTAGGTACATGTTGGAAGAATGAAAGGATTAGTAACTCTGTCTCCAAAATAATTATCTTCAAATTTTATTGGTCCTTGAAGCTTAACCAGTATATTCCCTATCAACGAAAAGAGTCTGATCCCCTCCCCCCACCACATGCACACACTCCAGGGTACCTTTTCCTTAGACACAACTCTTTGCCCTTCCTCCCCTGATTTCTCTAGACACCTTTGTATTCTCGATACTAATTGCTCCTTACTTCAGAAGTACTTGATTTTTTTAACTTTAGAAAAGATGTTTTCACTGCAGATTTCTTGAGGCTACTCTGGCTCCAGGGAGGTCAATCTACTTGCAGACTCACCCACCACCAGAGACTCAGCCCCCACCTTCTTTGTTCACCTGTATTTCCACATGACTGTCACTTAGACTCTTTGTGTTTAACCAGAGAATGCTTGTGTTTCTTTATCCCTTGGGGACACTTTCTCTGTACACACAAGCTCTGCAGATACTATCTTATCGTCGGTGAAAGCTTTCGCATAACTTTGCTTCACGCCTGCGATTACAACAAGTAAATGTACAGAAAATGATAACTAAAACACTGGGCACTTTGACAATTATTAAGGATATTTTCATCTATTTGCATTTTATTCTCACTTGTAGCACATTTACTTAATTATTTATAAGTAGCTTGTGTGCAGTTTTGGGAAAGCTAATAGTTGCAAAGTGTTTTAAAACTGACTTTTCAGATTTTTCTCTCCAACTTTTTGTGACTTTTTGTTGTTTGTTTTATTTTTTCCTCAAGCTGAATGCTAAAATATCAAACAAGAGCTCTTTTTGTGTTATGTTTTCAATGAATTATTATTTCTTACAAATATAGAGATACTGTTCATTGTACAAAACGTCTATGCCTTTACTTAGCTAACTTCACACAGTTCCTAGTAAACTAGGGTGATAGGCAGAATGACTTCTCTGTGTGACCCGCATCTGCCATCACCAAAGATGGTCATAGAATTCTCAGTAGGACCTGGAATAGAAATCAGATGAAAGTGGAAGGCAGCCTCATAGATGTTCTGTAGCGGGAATGTTTTGTGTAACTGTTTCCAGACAACCTCCGCTTTCACTTCAGAACTTTCAGAATGAGCCAGCCTGTGTGATAACTAAACAAAAAATATTACCTACAACCAAGACAGAACACCATTTGTGCATGTTCTGTACATCATGAGTTATATAAAATTTCTAGGTGCATTTTCTCAAAGATGACTATTCATTTTATAACCATTATAATCTACTAATGAACTAAACATGTATTTGTATGTCACAATGGTCTTTGAATCTCAAAGATCTTGCTACTAATTACTAGACATTTATCAAAGGCAAGGTGCTTCAGGAAGCACATTAAACACTGTACCTATCTCTCTTGCTCCTTATAACAGCTATTTACTCACTTTTCTTGAGGGTTTATTATCAGGTGCTGGATTAAGAAATGGATTTTGGAATAATACTGATAGTTATTGTTTATTAAGCTCCTATTATATGCCAGACCTAGTTTCCAACGAACTACATAAGTTAACCCCTCAAGAAGAGTACCATTATATCCTCTGTTTTATAAGTGACAAATAGAGAGGTTATGATATTCCCAGGTTTACACAGCTAGTAGGAGGCAGAGCTGAGATTTGAGTTTGCGGCTCATGCCCATAATCACTGTGTTGTAGTGTTTTTAAAACTGACAGAACTCTAATATTGCTTTGTGGCTGCTAAAGGACATAAAATCTATTCTTTCATTCTTAAAGTACTTGCTCAACTCCCACATTAGTTTTCCATATAAGAGAGCAATATGCAACTGCCTTTTACTTATTAATCAAAATAAAAATTATATATGTGTGTTTTTAGTAGTAACAATTGGGATTTGTTATTGCAACTTATTTTTTATCAGGCTGAATATCTTGAACATCATGTAGTAAATATGTCTAGTTGAAGCTAGCAGCTATTCTCTATATTACATATAATATTATACTATATTCTGTTTTTTATTTTAATTTTCTTTGGAATCTTTGGGAAAATAACCACTGCTGATGAAAAACAATAGGACAAAAAAAGAAACAGTAGCTACTAGAGGTAGACTAACATATTTTGCTGGTCAATGCCACTTGGGAAATTTGGGTCAGTGAGCATCATGGGCTCTAGAACCTCCAAGAAAATGGATCCTTCCATCTTCACCTTCGTGGTGAACTGTGATGGTTCCAAGTGGTGTTGATGAGCACATTGTGTGCATTACGAACCAGGTAGTTGACCAGAAGTCTGCAGCAATGGGCAAGATAGGTGTGCTAAAATTCTGTTCTCCACCCTTTCCCCTTCTTGCCATTAAATAAATCATAGTTTACCTGCTACTGAAAAAGAAGCATACAATGCAATATTTATCTACCAGGTTTTATCTGAGATCTCTAAGATAAAACTTTTAACAAAACTGTTTTTAATCCTCATTTTAAGATTACACTAATAGCTAGTGTATAGTGTATTCAGAAGAAATAAATATTCTAATTAATCATATACAAACAGTCTGAGGGCAAAGATTCTGTCTGTTCTGTTTTGGACATACCCCAGCACATAGAACGGAGCATAGTAAGCACCAGTGAGTATTTGTGGCTGAATGGATAATGTTTGGTCGTTTCATCTCACATTTGAGAAAAAATTCAGAATTATAATTTCTTCAATTAAATGAAAAATGTTACAAATAAGTCATTTCAGACTTTCAAGATCTAATAGTTGCAAGAGTATGTTCCCTTTCTTAAATGTCTACCAACTTCTACGAAAATGTCATCATTTAGAAAAATACATTTGAAAATCATTAATTTGATTCACTAAGAGGTTCTGATTCCCTTTGTAAGGGTAGGCAAGTACTATTGTGATTAAATAATATGCCTGTGACATTGAATTTATTCGCTGGTTTTGAATAATATATTCATTGGTTTGAGTTCCTGGTAGAGAAATGACAGTGTAGTTAGTCAGCCTTCCTGGCCCACTGAAATTGACCTTGGGTGAACCATCTGAGTAAGTGAAGGATACTGTTCATAATAACCTTATGCCTTTAGTGCTCCATTTCTGTTCTCGTGGTTGCCTGGTATTCTGGGTGTTCTATAAAAAAACCTGACCATGTTGATAAAAGGTGAATTAGGTTCTCTTAAGGGTCCAAATTCCATTAAATCCCAATGGAATTTTATAATTTTTTATTATTCTACTTAGGCATTTATGAATTAGATTGTCAAAAAATTCTTTGTCTCACAGTGTGTCTTATTGGACTACATTTTCTCAGGGAATATTTCTTATGTCTTCATAATATGCAGCAACACGTGGAAACATCTCTGTGTAGAATTTTAAGATCTATGAGGTAGAAATAGCGATCCTGTACAGCAGAAATATAAATTTACTCAACTTTGTTTTGCATGGCATTCTAACACAAGCTCAGCTCAAAGACTCTGTAGCCATATCATAATCGAGGCAAGAGGAGAACAGAATCATGTACTCAGCACCTGCAGTACAGCACTTTTATCATCCGCTCCATACTCAACTACCCACATCCCAGAGTAAGATCCGGGTCTTCTGTGTCTTGCAAAATGGGATGACTCGGGAACAAAGCCTTAATAATCCAACTGAAAACAAGCTAAGAGAATGATATTATGTTTTTGTGAAGGTATCGGCACACAAGATGGGACAGCAGAAAAAGACAAAGACTTCAAGGGCAAAGCACAGAGGCAAGTGCAGTTTAACCCCGGCCAGACCAGGGCCACGTGGAGAGTGCGGATCCTGAGTGACGGGGAACACGAGCAATCCGAGACCTTCCAGGTGGTTCTCTCCGAGCCCGTGCTGGCAGCCCTGGAGTTCCCCGCGGTGACCACAGTGGAGATCATTGATCCCGGGGATGGTGAGAGCCATTGTCAGCTTGGTTATGTCACTGCTCTTGAGGTTTCCTGACCAAATGCAGAGGAGGTTTGAGATTCAATATTTTTTCTAAAGGGAGAGTTTTCCAGATGAATGATTCAGAGTTTTTGGATCTGCTGATGGCAAGAGGGAAACCAAAAAGTAACAAAAAGAAGCTATCCCTTTTTTCAAGTAAATAAACTATACACTGACATGTTCCTTCTGGTATTATAATTCTACCCTTGAGAACCAATGCTGCTCATCTCGTTTTCTAAAAGTAATGCATCCATTTTAAAGTGTTTTGGATGTCTTAAAATATCTTTTAAACAAATGCTTTGGGAATGAGATCATTTTAGGATTAAGTTGTTCTCCACAGAGCGTTAAATTATTCAAGTTTCCTTCATATATTCACCAGCCCCAAGTTTTCCTCTAGAGATATGTTTCCATATTGTTACATAACACCCACTCCACCCACTGATAGCTAAACAGCGGCTTCAGACTTTGCTCCTAATTTCTCTTAGATTGTGTTTTCTTGCCCACGCACTCCCTGGGCTGATGTTGGTGAAAGGGAACCTTAACGCTTTTGTGTGTAATTTGACCTTTTTCCACTCCCTACCAAACTTCTACAACCCTAGCTTGTCTTGAGGTAGCTAGGTGGAAAAAGAAAAGATTGAATGACTTTTTTGAGGCCTGGCATTTATAAAAACCTTACAGATGCTTCTGAAGCTGAGATCCTGTCAGAAACCAGACATGACTTTCTTTTTCAACTGCCAGCCTGCTTTATCAGTCAGAAAACTCGTAAATGCTCTGTAAACATGCAATCTAGTGAGTACATGAAACAGAGACACATGTGAAAATCCCTGTGTTAAAAGACTAAGTTTAATTAAAGAGAGGATAAGAAAACTGGAGCCTCAACGTCCGTTTCTTAACTAGCATCTCTGCCTTTTGATAAGTATAAAGTTGGGTTATGTTGATAATTTCCATTAAAGGACAGTTAGCATTTCACTACATTTCATTTTCTCTGCATTAAATACAAATAATTAAGATTTTTTTTATAGTCCTGAGCTTTGAAACTTTTTGTCTTTTAAGTAAGCCCATGGCAACATTCATACTTTTAAACTGGCCCTTTAGTTAAAGCTGGTAGCCATTCCTTGAGATTTGTGTTTGCCAAATGGTAAGTTGCTATACTTTACCTTAGGGAATAGGATATGTAAACTTATTTCTTTCTTGTTTCCAATCTCATGGTGTCACTTTCTCCTAGTGATGTATGTGATCAGTGGTATATATTAAAATAAAACAAAGCACACACTACACAAACACCATAAACCTGTATATAATCTTCCTTTTTCCTTTGATACTAGGGATCCAATCAGGGCTACTCTCCCACTGAGTTACATCCTTAGCTATTTTTATTTTTTATTTTAAGACAAGGTCTTGCTAAGTTTCCTAGGTTGTCCACCCTGCTGCCTCAGCCTCTCAGTGTGCTGGGATTACCATCACGCACCCCATACACAGCTGATAAAAATATCTTAACATAAATTCTATACACACACACACACACACACACACACATATATATACACATACATATATACATACATACATCCTGGCTTCTTCCATGTTCATAATTATTGTAATTATTTCTAGCTATTTATGCTTTTTCAGTGATATAGTTATGATTTTAAGTAAAAGTATTTTATACATCAGCATCTACAACCACTAGAAAAATGAAATTCATCCTTGTAACTTGCTTATCTAACCTGAAGCAACTCTCCCTGCCCCCACGTGTCCTGTAATACCTGTATGGCCTCCAGATGACCGTGGCCCTTCTGCTTGCAGCCATAGGTCTGTGGTCAGCAGAATTGAGCCCCCCACCCAGAGAAGGTCTAGTCGTCACCATCCTGTGTCCTGCCGCATCTGTGCAGGAGCCCAGCCTGTATGAAGTGGCAGATGCCAGTAAAAGTGCGGCGCAAGTGAGGCCCCAGCCCATCCCTTAGAGCTTCAGGATGGCCGTGGATATGAGGAAGAAAAACCTTGAATCTGTGCTGACAGCTGGTACCTGGGCCCTGCTATCCAGGGAGAGACCGACTCTGTACAGTTCACCTTGGAAGGGACTGGGAAGCCCACGGTTCTGTCTAGAATGGATAGAGGCTTTTTCTGCTATTCAGGAAACTGCCATGAGAACACTGAAAAAGAAATAAACCTTTGTGCCGTGAATACGATATCAACTTCCCAGACAAATAGGTCCACTCATTTACTGAATTTATCGAATATAAATTCGATTTCCTCATAAGTTGAAACACTTCAAAGAGAAAAACTAGAATAAGAGGAGGACAGAGCGCTGAACAGAGACGTTAACCTCCCTTTGTAATTCTTCTGCTGCCCCCAGGCGGCTGTGGTCCTGGGGTTCCACGCGTGGAAAACCAGCCATTGATGTCATCATTTTTACCCCACTCGTGTGTCTTTCTCAATTCCTTTGCTGTTCCTCCTTGTTTCGGTTTGATTCTGCAGACTCCTGCCTTTTAACATCCACTTGAAAAGTCCAAGTAATTTAGTTGGGGAAGGAGTTTAAAGTCCATGAGACATTTAACTCATTTTCTGGATGAGGAACTTGAGAAAGAGCGCTGCTGTGGTCTCAGCAGCAGTCAACCACTTGCAGGCTGTTTTGTTTGATTGGGAGGGCGGGTATTGACAGAAGTGGGGGAGATTGCCCTTCATAACAGCGCATGGGCATTTCTCTGTGAAACTCCACTGACCAGTACTAAGCATCTCCCATAGACTGGCTCTCTGCCGCTGGGCTGGACTGCCACAGAAAAACAGCACAGTAGATTTCCAGGAGACCAGACTGGGGAGGGAGCTTCAGGTCATTTCTATTCCTTCTGCCCGTTTGGCTAACTCAATCCCCAGAAGTCCAAAAGGACTCTTCCATGGGCCAGGGTTAAATCGTAATAATCACAGTGTAATCTCTACTGTTGTTTTGTGCTCTCTAGGGGCCAGACACTGCACTAGGGTTTTTGCAAAAAGGGCTAGAGGTAGAATTTGAAAGACAAATGAAGTGCCTAGAAAAGAATATTCCAAATCAAACTAAGAGTGCTTTGCCAAAACGATATTGTTTCACCTATTCTCGTGTGTAAGAACAGAAGTAATTCCTTCCTTTCTTATTCTTTATCTTTTTACTTCCTGTATCAAACTTCAAATAGGTTAGTATTGGTGAATAAAACCAAGTTTTCTAAGAAGATAACTAATACCACTTCAGTCCCTATATAATGTATGTGTTTATTTAATAAGTATTAAATAGTCATCTGCTATATGCCAGGGGTTCTTCTAAAAGGTAGGAATTCAGGTACTGGAGTACAGAAATTATGCCAGCCCTGATACTGATCATATAATTAGGTAATCAAATTCTGCTAACATTGAAATTAAGAATACAGAGTGTGATGTGCTGTGATAAAGGAATACTGACAGCCTAAAAATGTATCTAACTGAGTTTCAAGAACGAAGGAAATGTTTCTAAAATAAGTATTTTTAATTTTCTGCATATTAATTTCCCAGCTATCAAAATTTGTACCATCTGGTCTCACTCTTAGAAGCATAGATATAGTAATTAATTTAAATATTCTTGTGTCTGTAGAGGAAAATATGTAAGAGCTATAACTTATTTATATGAAAATTTATATAAAATCTCATCGTTTTGATTTTGTACAATGAACCCTCAAGTTACGAATGGCCTGACATACGAACAACTTGGATTATAACCAGAAATTTAATTTTAACTTACAACCAAAGTCATGAGTTAGGACCTGAGTGCTGGCTGCTTGTGCTTCCAGATGGTCTCAGACACAGATTTAACCCTTAAAGAGTTCTGGAAGGAACATCACAGCATCCTTTCCCGAGTGGAGCTCATTGAGAAATCCTAGGCCAGTGTCTCTCTAAGGACACTGAGAGCTGCCTGGGTACAGGAGAGACTTGGAAGGCTGTGTGGAGGAGCCTGAGCCCCCCGTTGACAGCTTGAGTTACACCCAGCCCTTAGGAACAAATTGAGTTTGTAAGTCAAGGGCCCGTTGTATTTTCCAAACAGAGTAAACTGAGTTTTATGTACACTTACTGAAGACCACACCCCCAAGTAATAGAATTATTGAGTTCAAATACCTAGCAAAGATAACTAAAATGTACATGTTGTATAATTATTTTTTTACACATCATAAATGTCTGCACACTTCTGACTGAAATGAAATTGTTCTGTATTTCTATGATTCAAAAATACAGACATGAAGTAATAGCTTAAAGATTTGACCGTTGTGATCAGTTTTGGTGAGAACATATTAGCTTAACCCTATATAATATTTAGTAAACAATAAAAGGAATTCTATAGGAATGTAGAACTTCACATATTTTAAGAAGTTCTAATATTAGTGTACACAAAGACAAGACAGAATTGTGAGCTGGGCTCACCTGTAATCCCAGCACTTGGGAGTTCGAGACCTGCCCAGGCTACAAAGTGAGCTCAAGTTCAGCCTGAACTGCACAGGGAGATCCTGTCTCAAAAAAAAAGACAAAAACAACTGTGACTTCATTAAGAGAACAAAACCATTTATTGAAATGGAATTCAGATGACATTAACTAACCAGTTTATAAAATTAATTAATCTATAAATTAATTTATTAGCCAGTCTATGAATTAATCTAAATATTAATTCTTACCTTTGCAATTGTGCACCACTGACTGTGTTGATAGAGACCAGCTGATATTTTGAGATGACTGCCAAAATTCAAAGTATGGAATCAATAAGATGCTGGCCAACTGCAGCTAATGACAGAGAAATGATTTTAAAAAAGCACACAGGAGCGTCAGCCTCAGTGTCAAGCCTTTTGGAACCCTACTGGAGTAAGACATTGGTCATTTCTTAAGAGAAACAAAAATTACAACCACTTATTAAAATTACAGTACATGGTTTCTGATACCAAAGATGTCATGACTGAAATTACTTTGGTTACGCGACTGAAA